AGAGCCCCACTTTGCGGCCGGTGTAGACCTTCACGTACCCATTCACCTCCTCGCCCTTCTGCACCACGATCTGGGGGTGAGAGGGGTGCGGGTGAGGCTGCCAGGGCCCCACCAAGCAGGGGGAAGGCGGCAACCCGCAGGGAGAGGGGGGTTGGCTGGGCAGAGCGGGTTTTGTCCCAGGGGCTGGGGGGCAGCGTGGCTGCAGGCTGTGACCACCTGAGTCCCACCTCACCTGATCCTTCTTGAGTGTGATCTGCCCAATCTCCCGGTTTCCCACAAAGGAGCGTGTCACCTTGTGCACCCGCTCGCCTGCCCGCACCCGGATGATGAAGTTTGGAGGGAAGTAGCCAATTTTTTCACCAATCTTCCCCTGAAAAAGGTCAGCGGATGGGTGCGAGGGGGGTGTTGGAGCCAATCCGTACGAACCCCAATTCCCCTGTGACAACCAGCCTGCAGGCTGTGGGTTGGCATGAGGGCACAGCAGGTGTAAGGGGCTTTGTCCACCCTTAGAGTGCAGTTTCGCTCCCAGCTGACCTCACCCTTAGCTTTAAGCTCCGCATCTCTCCCCTCTGCACACCAGCCTTACCCGCCACCACTCCTCATTGGAGTCATCGACCACCGTGATCTTCTCCCCTGGCCTGCGAAGGGAAGGAAGGGGTCAGCGTGAGGAGGGGGCAGGGACCCCCCACCATGGGAGACTCTGAGGTTGGCAGCGAAAATTGCTCTTCCCACAGCACCAGCTCCCAGTGCCCTGTGTCAGGTGAGGTCAAGGAACACGCACAGGAACAGACAGATCCTGTGCGTGAGCAGCTCAGCCTCAAGTCTGGGGTGCATGAAATCAGTGGAACCACATCAAGACAAACCAACAGCCTTGGAAATAAGGCTTGTGCCCAAAACCTGGGAGCTGGGAGAGCTGGCCCAGCGGGAGCCAGGGCCCCTGCTTGATGTGTAGCCCATTGGGGCTGGCAGAAAAGCCACAAAACCCAAACCACAGCCAGCACAGCTCTAATTTCTGCCCTCACTCATTCATTCACAGACTCCTCTAGGCCGCAGAGCTTCATTGTTGAGGTGAAGACTTCTCTCCCTCCCCACTGGACACCCCATGTCCTTCCCCTCATCACCCCTGGGCCCACTGTGTGACTGGGAACTTACGGGAAATCCAGGTCATCTTTCTCTAGGGCTTTGAAGCGATAAAGTGCCACGAAGTAATGGGACTGCAGATAGCCACCACGAATCCCTGGCTGTGGCTTCTTGTTCTGGGGGAGGAGGAAAGAGGGGTTTGGGGCCCCAGAGAGGCCCTGCGGAGCCCAGCAGGGAGATCCCTACACCCTCTGTCCACGCTGCTCCAAGCCCAGGGGCCTTTGGGGTGTAGGTGAGGATGACGGCTACCTTGTCATCTGTTGGGCTCTTCTCGGTCTTCTTGTCCCCTTCAGAGGTGCCTGGAAATGGGAGGAGTATGGTTACATCTCTCCTGGTCCTACCTCCTGACCTGGGAACCAGCCTCCTCCCAAGGATTTCCTGTGCCCAGGTCAACAAGGGGAAGCAGGGAGTACCCCAGGGTGGAGACCTAAAGACCCTCTTGCTGCAGGGTAAAACCTACCCCCTACCCCAATGGTCCTCCCAAATACAGTCTCCCTCCCTGCCTTGTGGCTGGAGCTTGGCCCCCCCAGTTCCTTGTCTCCCCTCCCAGTTCCTTGCCCCCCTCCCAGTTCCTTGCCACCCCGCTGCAGTTGCAGCACTCACCACCCTCAGTTTTGCCTCCTTCTGGCTTTGTGGCCTCCGGCTCCTCATCCATCATAGCAGCCAAAGGCTGCAAGACAAAGAGCTATCAGGGGGTGGGGGTGGCAATGGGGTGCAGGCTGTGGTGCCAGGACCCCTTGGGCATTTGGAGACACAGGCGGAGCCCACACTCACGTTTTTCTTGTCATCCTGCCCTTTCTTGCGCTCCTTGTTGGCCATGATGACGCCTGTCCGCAGGGTCTCGAACACAGGGTCGCTCCTGTTGGCTGCTGCTGGGGCACAGGGACAGTGAGAGTAGTTCAGCTACGGGACACGAGGAGATGGGGCAGTGGGGACGGTACTTACAGAGCAGCTCCTTGGTGCAGGCATATTGCTGGTCACTGTAGAGGGGTGAGCTGTACGCCCGGCGAAACCCTGGGGGCTGGAAGGAAAGAGGTCAGAGCATCAACCAGCACCCAGACCCGTAGGCCCTCCCGTGAGAGCTGAGCGGTGAAGCGGGGGGATGCTGGGCACCCGGAGGGTCAGCACCCAGCAAGGCGTGATGCTGGACCCACCCCTCGGCATCGGGAGCAGAGGTGGGCCCTGGCGCCTGGGTCATGCCCGCAGGGACCGAGCCGGCTGTTCCCTGCCACAGCACTTTGGTCTTCCCTGCGAGGGGCTGCCGCATGCCCAGGGCTGATGGGAACACTCACGATTTTGCCAAAGCAGCGCTGCATCTCCACATAGGACTGGCAGTGGTGGTGGATGTTGGTTTTGCAGTTCTTGCACCTCAGGCCAAATTTGTTGTTGACTAGCAGGGACAGGGGCAGAGGGGTGGAAAGGAGAGGCAATGTGACACTGCAGCTGTAGGGACGCCTGAGTGGGAGCCCTCACCAGTCTTGGCCCCCAGCCCTCACCCTGACCACGGCCCCCAACCCCAGCCCCCTCAGGACTCACGGACAATCATGCGCGCACAAACGTCACAAAACTTGGGCTTTTTGAAGTAATGATCTTTGAACTTGTGGGGTTTGTCATTGACGAGTTTCTGGGGCTCTGGAGGGGGCTCAGGTTCCTCCTCCTCTTCCTCCTCTTCCTCCTCCTCATAGATGTAGTAGATGGGTCCCCCTGAGGGGCTGACCAACTCCCCGTTGGGCTGCGGCTCTGGCACTGTCTCCTCCTTGGGCTTTCGCTGGAAAAGTTGCTTCAGCTTCCGTAGCTGCTGGGGCAGGAGAGGATGCATTGCACACTGCAGGCATGTGGGGTGAGGCAGGCAAGCTGGTGCCTAGCTTCCCGCCTCTTTGCTCTGATCTAGAGACCCCTTCTTCCCCAAGTGGGAGGAGACCCCAGGCATCCTGGGACAGAAAAGCTGTGAGGACAGGGACCTTTCTCCTGGCCCTGTGAGGTCCCCACAAAAGGACAAACTGGCTCCTGATCACCATGTGGATGTGGGCGCTCTGGGAAAGATTCAGGCTGGGAAATGTCCACCCACTGCCCTGCTAGATCAGGACCCCACCGGGCATCCCTGGCCCCACAAAGACTCCTGGGGCTTGGGCAGAGACGATGCTAAAAAGGTAGCTTCCCCCACCCACCCAAGCTGCCCGGTGGGCACCCACTTACCTGGCTCTTGGGTTTCCCACCTGAAGCAGGTGAAGCTGGTGGCTCTGGCACTTCCTTCTCTGTCATGCTATAAGGGGAAAAGAGAGACACCACATTGGCTGGGGCTGTTTGTACTGCAGGTGGGGGCAGGAACCACCAGATCTTGCTGGATGGGAAGCATCTCCCAAACCAGTGCCTCCCACTACCCCAGCAGCAGCATCTCCTGCCCCCCTGCCTGCGCCAGCAAGGGCCAGTCTCAGGGCCCTGGGGTACTGCTGGGCCCTGCTGCATGGGCTGGAGAGCAGCAGGCTCCCAGCCCAGCATGCACAGCACTGCTGCTTCCTCGGTGGACACAGTGCCAAGCGCTCTGGGCCAGACCCTGGGCTACCTGCACATGTCCATCTCTGTCTAGACATCTTCATCCCACAATTACACTGCTAACGGTGCCACTCGTGGCCCCCTAGGACAAGCATGCCTATGATGCTGTCTGACATCACTGCACAGCCCTGCTTGTGTCTCCACAGAAGCCCTGTGCTGCCACGGGGGCAGAATCTGCTCATGCATCCCCCAAAACATGCCTGATTCCACCTTTGACTGTCAACCATCCCCACAGTCCTTCCAGCCACACATCACTATTTTTCATGATGCCTAACAGAAGGCCCCCCCATGCTCCCGTGCAAACCAGCCAGGGTGACCATCAGGGAGATAGTGATGGGGACTGGGGAGTCCTGGAGAAAGGGGTGCTACAGAGACAAAGAGCCCCAGGGTCTTGCAGCCCCATGCGTGGAGCAGGGGCCTGCGGGGGTCAGTGGCCACAATGAGGGGGAGCCGCACACGGAAACACACTTACACTGTGTTTGGAGCTCTCGTCCTGCGATGAAAAACCCCACAAAGAGTGGCCGATGCTGGGACCCCGTTGCCTGCGGAGCCCCCAGCCCTCTGTGCTGGGTGCGCAGGGAGTGGGGCAGCTGCCCCAGTCCCGTAGAGAGCGGGAGTGACAGGCCAGAGGGGAACCGACAGCTGAGTGCTGGCGGAGGCTGACGCCGAGTAATTGGAGCCCGTGCGTGAGCCAGGAGGGGAACGGGGCGGAGAGGAGCCACTGGCTATTTGCGTTAGTGGGTTGCTGGGCGTGCCAGAGGCCCACCCACCCCCTGGCATGGGGCAGCAGCAGAGCAGGGCACACCAAGAGCTCCAGCCTTGATGTCTCATTTGCTCTTGCAGTTGAGGCCCCTGCAGCTGGGAGGGGAAAAGGGTGGCAGCAGTGGGGTCTCTCATGGGCAGCTCTCCTGGCTGCCCCATACCCTTTGGCAGAAAATCCTGATGGTCCACTCTCCACTGAGACAGAGCTGCCACGGAAGAGAGAGCTGGGACCCTGCTGCTGTCATGCTGCCCTGCAGTGGGTGCCAGTCCCTGGAGCTGGACAGGCACCCCAGTGCCAGTCCCTGCACCTATGTCCCTGCCAGGCTGTGGGTGGCAGTGGGGTAGCAGTTTGCACCAAGCCTGGGGTTGGAGCCCACCCCTTCCACGCAGCTCTCACCTCTCCGCTTGCACCTGCTCTTGGAAGTAACATCCAGATGCTGCCAAGAGGCTCCAGCTGCTGTGTGCAATGCCACGGTGAGGGTGGTGCCAGCCCAACTCTGGCACCCGCAGGGCAGGAGGACACAGGGATACCTGCACCTGTCAGCTCAAGGGCTGCTCCCCTCTCACCAGGAGTATGCTGCTACCTGGCAGTGGATACAGCTGGGAACACCCCACACCCCCATTCTTGCATCGGGCCAGCAGCTGGAAAAAGAGGTTATGAATATCTGACGGGGGGGCCAGCACCAGGTCAAAGTGCTCAGTGCTCCTCTCTTAGTCTCAGCTCCCAGTCTTGGCAAGCCATGGGCTCACAGCCCTTGTATGTGCCAAGCGTGGGGCAGGACTCAGGCAGGAATGCATCCTCCTGTGAGTGCCCCTTCTGCTCCTTGGCTGTCATCTCACTGTGAAGAGGCAGCAGAGACAGCCCCTAGCACTGGTACTGGCAGAGAATGGGAAAGCAGCGTTAAAAGTGATGGACAAGTTTTTTTTTTTTATATTTAAAAACAACCCCCCAAATAAAATAAAACCAAAAATACCCCCCAAATAATAATCAGATTAAATAAAATGTGCAGTGAACATACCAATCAACACCTGTATGTGCAGTTCAACACAGTGCTTAACAAAACAATATACACAGGGTAAGGTGGGCGGGCACGGGCATCACTCCAAAAATAATAATAATAATAATAATAAAAAAAAATCAATTTCTTGTCTCTTAATTATGTCCATATAAATATATCCAGGAAGGAAGGCGAGAGGAAGGGAGGGCAGAAAGGAAAAGAGAAGGCAGAGGGAAGTGCCCGCAGTCCAGTGTGCTCTGTGCCCATGCGTGAGCCCTACTGTGAGCTGGCACGCTCCAGCACCCGCAAGTCATAGTTCTTTTTGGCCACACGCAGCTTGAAGCGGCTGAGGGAGTTGTTGAGGCGGAGGGAGGCATTCTGGGCAGCCAGTGGGCTGGGGAACACGGCCACGATGGTGTATAAGGCAGCGAGGTCACTGTGCCTGCCGTTCTCTGGAGTCCCGTTGTCCCCACCGCCTCCATCTCCGCGGCGCCCCTGAGTCTCTTTCAGCCACTGGATTTTGGCACCAGCCATGGCGAGCTGGGTGAAGAGCTTGTCAGCCTCTGTCCGCGTGATGCCCTCGGGCAGGTCCGTCACCTCCAGCACCCGGCCCAGCACTGCAGTGGAAAAGACAGCACTTGTCAGCAGCAGCAGGTTCCTGCATGGCAACAGCCCAATGAGAGCTGACGCGTGGGCTCCTCAGCAGCTCTGGGGTCGGAGCAGTCACCTCTGCTCATGGAAGCAGCGCTTTGCTGAACTTCCCCCACATTAGGAATGTATTTTTTTAAGCCAGTCACTTCTTCCCCTTCAAAACTGCCCCTACCATTCTGCTCCCTAGAGTGCCACACCCTGGCCCTTTCTGATGCCCACATCCTGGTCCCCATGTGGCCTGTGCCAAGAGGACACCGGCATTTCCCATTTGCTCCAGCAACACCAAGTCCTCCCTGCTTCCTTTGGCTGGGCTTGGCTTTTCAGTTAGGGCTTTCCCAGGTGCTCTGCCCATCTTCCTATCCTGATCCTCGGGTACCAGGACTGGGAGCTAACCCAGTTCTCCTGCCCTCTGTCCCTGGAAAGGAGAAAGACATTGACATGTGCGGAACCTGAATGTGATGCTGCCTTGTGTGCTTCACCTGAGGGGAGGATCCCCTTGTGTGCCCAGCCCAGTGTCACCTCTTTGCCTCTGCTCTGTGGTACCCAAACACTTCTGCTGGTCCTGGCTCCAGCCCTGGCTTTTGGGCTTAGTGGAGGGGCTGGCTGAAAGGATTCTTTGCTAATATTAACGTGGCATGTAATGAACATGCCAGCTGCAGGGATGGGGGCAGCTCTCCAGCATGCAGCTCTTAAAGGGCCCCCTGCAACCAGCTGCTGTTGGTGGGGGTGACATGGAGCCGACAAGGGGGACAAGTCTGAAGCCTCAGAGAGTCAGTGAAGACTGCCTTCCTTCCAGGATGTCTGGCTCATGACCAACTAGCAAGTCTTGTAATTGCATGTGCCTCTCTTTCCCTGCCGATGACCAAGTGGAGACCTCCCAGGGTGAGGAATAGGGAGTCCCTTCCCCTTTGGAGAGAAATGATCCACTGGGGATTTCAGCCCTCACAGCTACCCCTGGAAGATCTCAAAGCCCTCTACGAAGACACGGGCTCTGTGGCTCCTAGTCCCACTGGGAAATGGAAACATGAAGGGTCGCTTGGGGAGGCAATGGTGGGAACAAGACCTCAGGCATCCGGACACTCACTTTCTGCTGACAAAAAGGAATAAAATCCTAGGAGTTCTGCCTGTTCCACCCACTCCATCATTTCAACCCTCACAGGAGCAGGAATAGGGCCCAGGTGTCCTGGTGCTCATCACTGACTGTCCAGTTTCTCCCTGCTCTTCCTCAAAAGCTTTGCTCAGTGCAGGCAGTGTTTACTGAGTTTGTGAGCAACCCCTGTCCTCCCCGGTCCTGACGGGCACAGCTGCCTGGGACTGGCTCTGCTGCATCTCCCAGCCCTAGCCAGGCCTCACGTGGGCTGCGGGGGGTGCGTGTCTGTGTGCGTAGGGGAGTCAGTGGCAGGCAGCAACTGCTTTCCACAACCACCTCCAGCAGTGGGTTCTGTGGGGTACTGGTGTGGGCAGAGGTGGCGTTTGAAGCCTTGGCCACTGCCAGCTATGCCCATGCAGTGGGGACCAGTCAAAGGACACAGGACACTTGCCTACATCACTTGTCCCAAGGTCAGTGGATGCTGACTTGAGGGCCTGTCTCTTGCTCCGGTTTCCGTGTTTCATTCCAGTCTGCCCCTTAAAGAATAAAAACAGTAGTGTGTCACCGGAGGAGACGCTGTGCCCACAGAGCATCCCTGGAGGAGGGAGCAAGACCAGACTGGACTAGGCCATGGTTGTGAAAGGGAATGAAGACACCTGGCTGAACCTTGCACCCCCTGGCACCTTTGAGGTGACATCACGCTTGGGTAAGTTAGATGAGATCAAGGCACAGCCATGGTTCCAGACACTCAAAGGACTTGGGGCTGACACAGCTTCTAGACAAAGCTGGGAGCAGGATATTTTAGCCCAGTGCCAGGCTCTAGGGAAATCCATTTACAATGGCAGCTCAGCCGGATGGATGGCAAGAGCATGGGGCAGGCAGTCTGCCACCTCATCAAGGGGTGTCCAAGCACAGGGCCTGGTGTGAGACTCACTTCCTAACTGCCCAGAGGAGGGTTGTCCAGGGGGATTGGAGGGGGCGGTCTTGCTCTGCTCCCAGGACAGTGAAAGGGTGGGTGGGGGTTTGGCCCAATTTTACCTGGTGTGCACTGTAGTTGGGCTGGTTGTGGAGCAGCGGTGGGGGACAGATAGACAGGTTATACTGCAGTGGCTGGCCCAGCAACGAGTAGCGCCCATCACCTGCAAAAAAGGAAAAAAAATGTTTTAGGGGTCTGAAGAAATCACAGGGAAGACCTAGCCCTGTGCGGTCTCCACTCCTTCCCCTTACCTTGTGCTGGGCCCATGGGCCGGGGAAACTGTGTGAGGACAGGGAGGGGGCTCAGCCCTGTGCAGACACTGTTGAGGTTGGTGACAGGAGACGGCGTCGGGGATTGGGTGGGGGATGTGATGGGACTGTTCAGCTGGGTGCTTGCCTGGGGGAGGGAGAGCATTAGACAGCCCCAGCACTTGTGACCAGTCCCACACCTGCCTCACCACCAAGGGATGACCCCACCCCCATCTCCCAGCCCATCCAGACAGCATGGATGCTGGGGTTCTCTCTCCCGCCAGGCTGCTCCCAAAAGATGAGCTGCCTTCTTCCCAGCTCTCCCAATACCTGAGCACTGGTGTCTGGGTTGTACAGGTCTCCTGGCTTCTGCCCCCGCTGGTCCAGGCTGTAGTACTTACAGTGGCTCCACTGCACCACAGGGGGATTCTGGGGGGCCTGGGGGCCATTGGGTACATTCAGCTGCATCACAACCACGCCAGGGCCTGATGGAGACACCCCTGGGGAGAGACAACAGCAGCAATATTGCCCAGGTTCTGTGCACTTCTGCTACTTGCTGTGGGATAAGAGGCAGCCTGCCCGTCTGTGCACCTCTGCACTCTTCCCTGCAACGCCTGCTCTGTGCTCTCTCCTCCGCCACTCCTGCCTGCCCAGGTAGGTGGAAAAAAGGCCCCACCAAGACCTGGTCGGGATCCCTCTCTGATATCACAGCTTACATCAGAGTGATGACTTTTAATCCAGGAGAAACGCAAGCAGAGGGGACACGTTGAAGGCAACTTGGGTGACCTCTCTGAGCATCACAGAAAAACTTCAGGCAGAGGATCTAATCGCACAGCTGGGCACACAGCTCAAGTATCCTGGTTCCAGCTCTTGCCCCGATTCACCAGGCCCCAGCTCATTTCCCTGCAGCTGGGACAGGATGCAGGAATCCTGATGCTCCTCTCGTCCCATGAGCTGCCCTGGTGACACTAAGCCGCGTTGCCAGCAGAGGGAGGCCGCAGCCCACAGCAGCTCCTGCCACCCGCTCCCACCCTGCCCACCGTGGCAAGGAGATGCAGCCTGGAGCAAAGCTGCTGTGCCATGTCCTGATAACACCCAGCGGGCCGCGGGATGGGTAAGACTAACAAACCCACTGCACAGAAGCTTCCTGACTTGGGTCTTAATTGGCAGCTCTGTTCGCTGCAGGCCCTACAAAACCTGATCCAATCTGTGCAGAATCAGTTCCAACCTTGACTGCTGGCCCCTCATACCTGAATACTGCTGCTGCATCTGTGGCGGGCTGCAGGGTGACGGGGACTGTGGCATCTGATACTGTTCAGAGCCAGGCGGATGAAGGAACCCCACCGATGGGCTGTGAAATAGAGAGTGCTCTGGTGAGGTGTTGGGGATGGGGATAAACAGCCTTCCCACCCGTGCAGGCAACCACCAGCTTCCTCGGTACTTGAGCTGCCTCTGGAGGGGCACGGGAAGCGCTGTGTGCTGCAGGACAGCTGTGTCCAAGGAAGCGCTGACTGGGAGCTAGGACTAGGCAAGCTCAAAAGATGGGCAGCATCTGTGGTGCCCTGCCACCTCCTCTAGCTGCAGCAGCAGGATGCTGTGTCCTTGCAGCAGGGCAGTAGGACCCCTCCTCCCCATGGGAGGCCCGAGAGACAGCAGCTTTACCTGGTGCCGTTCTGCTGGGCAGTGGGGATGACGCTGTAGTAGATGGGCACCCCTCCAGCCTGCAGTCCCCCCTGAACAGACTGGCTGGCTGGTACAAGCACTGGCTGCTGGAAGGGCTGCTGGACCACACTCTGGGACTCATTGGCCACGGGAACCTGAACAGGGAG